ACAATATTTGCGTCGCAGTATAACGGTTGCTAAATACCCGGGTAACAATATTTGCGTTGCTGTATAACGGTTGCTAAATACCCGGGTAATAATATTTGCGTCGCTGTATAACGGTTGCTATATACCCGGGTATCAATATTTGCGTCGCTGTATAACGGTTGCTAAATACCCGGGTAATAATATTTGCGTCGCTGTATAACGGTTGCTATATCCCCGGGTAACAATATTTGCGTCGCTGTATAACGGTTGCTATATACCCGGGTAACAATATTTGCGTCACTGTATAACGGTTGCTATATACCCGGTTAACAATATTTGCCTCGCTGTATAACGGTTGCTAAATACCCGGGTAACAATATTTGCGTCGCTGTTTAACGGTTGCTATATACCCGGTTAACAATATTTGCCTCCCTGTATAACGGTTGCTAAATACCCGGGTAACAATATTTGCGTCGCTGTATAACGATTGCTAAATACCCGGGTAACAACTGGGTGTAGACTGTAGCGATACCGTACAATAATTGTACCCTTGTGGTGGTTTCACAAAAAAAAGTAGGTGATGTTGTAAATAAGATAAAATGTTATCTTGCCAGGTACCAACCAAAGTTCAGAAGGTACAGGACAGAAATAGAAATATATATCAAAATAAAGATAGCTCTCAGGTAGATAATGTAAAGTTAAATGTATCTGTTTTTCTTTTTCTTTAGTTTTTCACTAGGTTCTGATTTTTTTGGGAAATAATTTAAGGTACAAAACAAAAGAGACTTGAAATATTCATAATTCCTTACTGTTACCTTTTCAAAGGGCTATTTCCACTTGTATAGTAAGAGGCCCAGATGGCCTGTATCGCGTACCTGGATATCTAAGTAATCATGGCAAAATATTCTAAAAAGAAGATCCCAGGGTGAGGGCCAAACCCCAAGGCCAATCCTTGTAGCATATCTGTATTTGATTTGTTATGGGATGGGGATCTAAACTGTTTTTAAGTTGTGACTCAGAAACTAGGTCCCTAGGGTTGTGATCATATCCCAGGGTCAATTCTCATATCATTACTGCATTCGTCTATTTATGCCAATCATCTATTATCCCCCGCTTTCACCGAAACGTGGGATATTAATTTGGGTCCGTCTGTCTGTCTGTCTATCTGTCACGCTTCGTTTCCGTGCAATAACTGCAACAAATGTTAACCGATTTTTTTCAAACTTGGTAACAGGGTAAAATGCCTTAAGGGCTCAGCCAAATTTGATGAGCACTTTCAGCGGACTTTATTTGGCGGATTTATGGCCCATTGAATAACGAAAAACATCATTATCTGTAGTTTTTGTATAAGGCTTTTTTCCCCTTTGAGTTTCAAGCTATACATTGTCTCAACAGTGCGATACTCACATGTTTAAACCTAACCTCAATAATGTTTACCTACAACATGTCCTGAAAGCAGGGGATATAAATTCCACGAATTTGCTTGTTTATATAGTTTTGGGTTCGGGATCCATTTTTGAAGTTATGACCCAGGGGTTACGTCTCCAAGGATGGGGCAGACCACAGGGCCATACTGGAAGCATATGTGCATTAATCTGTTTATACTCGGCAATCGATATATGGTTATAGTGTGGGGATCTCACCTGTTTGCAAGCTGTGACTCAGAAACTAGGTATCTAGCGGTGTGGCCAGACCAAAGGGTCAATGCTTATATCATAATTGTGTTCGTCACTTTATCACCAACGATTGTATATATAGTTTTGGGGTGGGGATCTCAACCATTTCAAAGTTATGACCCAGGGGTTAAGTCTCCAAGGGTGGGGCAGACCCCAAGGCCATGCTGGAAACATATGTGCATTCATCTCTTTATACTCAGCAATGGTATACATGGTTATAGGTTGGGGATCTCAACCATTTCCAAGTGATCAACTATTTTTTGCCCACCATTAGATGGGGGGTCAGCCTGTCCATTTGTACAATTGTTAATCCCCACTACCTAGGGATGCTTCAAACATAATGTAGTCGATATCAATCGCTGGATGCCTCGATATGGCTTAAGTTCACTTAGTTGCTTTTGTACCAGGTGAGTGAAAAAATAAATTATTGACTACTGTTAGCCAGGATGATAGTATTGAGGGGGTCTTTATTTGGGTAGAAAATGAAGTAGCCAAAGGAAATCCACATGGTGGAACAGCTAGTGATCCCTGTTCACACCCGCTCAGGGTATTCCACCACTCCCGTCTTGTTGAAGGGCGGATATGCTATCCACTGTGCCATCCAACTCCTGCACATTCTAACGACGTTGTACACTAAGTATTACACACCTGACTATCTATATTTTGAAATTCCCTTTTGATTCCCATATTAAGCCAATAAAACATCCAATTACTGGGTGGCTGTCTAACACTCAACACTGAGAATATTACCGCGGCATACCGAGAACAACCAAGTATTTCACTGTCCTTGGCTTTTGTGCCAAACCTGAACCCCGATAGTCGAAATTAGGAAAAAAAACCTCCCCATATTGAAGTCATAATACAATAATGTAACTATTTAGTGAATTGTAAAGTTAGTAGGTTGGGTTGGTCGTATAGAGGTCAATGTCCCATCAACAGCTAAGGTCATTTAAGGACGTTCCTGCATGTGTAATGGTGAAGTTAGTAGGTTGGTTGGTCGTATAGAGTTTAACGTCCCATCAACAGCTAAGGTCATTTAGGGACGTTCCTGCATGTGTAATGGTGAAGTTAGTAGGTTGGTGGTCGTGTAGAGTTTAACGTCCCATCAACAGCTAAGGTCATTTAGGGACGTTCCTGCATGTGTAATGGTGAAGTTAGTAGGTTGGGTTGGTCGTATAGAGTTTAACGTCCCATCAACAGTTAAGGTTATTTAGGGACGTTCCTGCATGTGTAATGGTGAAGTTAGTAGGTTGGTGGTCGTATAGAGTTTAACGTTCCATCAACAGCTAAGGTCATTTAGGGACGTTCCTGCATGTGTAATGTTGAAGTTAGTAGGTTGGTGGTCGTATAGAGTTTAACGTCCCATCAACAGCTAAGGTTATTTAAGGACGTTCCTGCATGTGTAATGGTGAAGTTAGTAGGTTGGTGGTCGTGTAGAGTTTAACGTCCCATCAACAGCTAAGGTCATTTAAGGAGGTGCTTGCATGTGTAATGGTAAAGTGCACATAGATATATACATCAACAAAATATCCCTTTATGGGAAGTTTAACCCGATTTTCATGGTGTGAATTGAATCAATGCTGCTATCCACTTCAACATCTAGGTAGACTATAGTAATGAAGTTTAAACCAATACTGGAAAAATGCTGCTGGCATGGAGAAAAGACAAAGTTACCAATGGTAATGAACTTTCCTGTCAGAACATACACATATGAGAAGCACTACATCAAAATTAATGGTGTGCTTTAAATTCCCTTCACATAAGTCAATGCCGGCATATATTTTGACCAACTTTAATTACATTTTCATTGGTGGGGTGTAATGGTTTATGATGAAAAGATGAAAAAAAAGTTTGTAAAGACTTGAATCACTCTCTTATAAATATTCTCATTAAATATAATATTGAAAAGATTTCCGAATTATGGCTGTCTCTCAGCATCCAGGACGGCAACAAGATTTCTTTATAAAACATCTTATTCCCTGGTCCCAAGGATGCCTTATAGTAAATTTGGTTGAAATATGATCAACTGTTCATGAGGATCAAGCTTTCAAATATAACAGTATATAAGATTATAGAGACCATACCTCGACTTTCCTATTTGACCCTGCGCCTGGGGCTGGGACTGATCCCAGGGCAAACTCTTGTGGCAAATATGTAAATCATCTCTTCATTCACCTTTGTTGATGAGATAATACTAGTTCGATCTTTTGATGTACATCAAAATAATCTCTCGGTCCCGTAATAGTACAAATCGACAGGCCTTGAAGTCGGAGGTCCATCATCAGCCTAGGGATTGGTCTGTTTTTCTTACCCAGAGACCAATCGAACACTTTTTTGTGCCTTTAATTTTGCCGACATATTCCAGGGATACAGAGAGCGAAGTTGAGCACAACCCCTGGAGTATCGAGGATACCCAATACATACATTGATAAGTGCTGAACTTACAGTTTTAGGGTAATGGAACCGACAGTAACATCTTACATTATTGATGTTATGTGGACGAACCAGCACCCCGGAATATGTTATGACAAAATTGAAGGCTCAGTGTGTGCCACCTTGTGGATGAGACAAAGACTAGTTTGATCCTTTGATGTATATCAAAAGAATCCCTGTTAGCTAAGGTGAAATTAGAAGGTTGGTGCTGCTCCTCTGTAACCTTCCAAGGTCAGGTATCAGCCAAGCAATTGGTCATTTTTTTTTACCAGAGACCAATCAAATAGCAAGCCACATACCTTCAATTTTTCTACCACATATTCCAGGGGTGCAAAGAACGTAAGTGAGCGTAACTCGAAGAGTATAGAGGATGCTCTCATTTATCTTGTAGGGGCATAAAAATGCCTCATTTCAATATGAAAGACCATAATTTTCATCCTCTTGGATTTACTCTTTTTATTTGTGAAGTGTACGGTTGAAAAATTACAAAAGTGTTATTTTCAGACACTTTAACATTTTAAATCACTGGTAAGTTTTAAATTAACACACACCAGTGACTATGTTTGTGTGTGTCTCGGACCTGTTGATGAAATAGAAGTCCAGCTGACCCCAAGATCATAATTGTCTCAACTTTAAAATAGGCCCAGTGTAAGCAAGATGATTTGGACCTTGAATAAAACAATCCTAACAGATTAACACATGAACGTGTAACAATTCTTTGGCTTTTTGGTAAGTTTTTTCATTTAGAAGTTAAAATTTAAAAAAAAAAAAAATCACCAACAAAAAAATTAGCAACTCAAATTTGAAGACAATTGTGATATTGGGGCACATCAAGACGTGAAGACACAAGGAATACAATCAATCTACAATAAACAGCACATAATCAATTTGCATGAACAAAAGTAAAAATACTGATATTTTTCCAATTTTTATTACACTGAAAATTTCACATAAAAACATTGTTAGATTGATGATGCAGCCTAAAGATAGTGTGTTCACTCAAAACGGCAAGTGCATTTATTTACTGGGACAAATCTCGTCAAATACAAGGGCTTCGTAAAAAAAAGTGGCTAACTGAAAACTATAAATATATATTTTTCTTGCTTTGGAATGATGATAAAAATAATTCAACAGACCTACCGTGCAATGAACCGATTCTAATTGATGCAAGTTGTTTTTTTAATTGACATCAGGGGTTGACGAGATATTTTTCAGTCCAGTTTTTAGATATTATTCACGTAAAGTAAATATACATACATATTTGTTCTTCCCACTTCCAATTTGTATTTTACAAGTTTTTGTAGACATCATATATCAATGAATTTAAAATGTGAATGAAAAAAAAAATCTACAATAAAAAATAAATGATGACATGACAAGGTGTGACATGGGACGTCCATGCCTGCTTTACAAAGTAGTAGTATCTTGTAATGTTTCTCAAGTTTTTTTGTACATTTTTATATATTTTTTCCACTTTTTTTTGTATTTTTTCCATCTATAAATAGAATGTGTGTCGACTCGTGACAAGGGGCAACAGAAACAAAGAAGTTGATAACATCTGTTCAATCTTGGGCATTTTTTTTTGTAAAGTATAATTTTACAATTAATATCAATAGACATAAAATAAAATATTTCACAAATTGGTATTCCTGAAACAGTTTGTTCGGAGACAGGGTACTCAGTGTTCCTCATTCGTCTCGGCTTTTGATCTCATTAACGTAAAAGACATTTTGTCTGTTCCTCACAGCAGCTATAACGGCTTTCCTTTGATCAATCTTACTTCACACAAACAATGTTTTATACTCAGAAATGCATTGTTCTGGCTCTATAATGTGTTCTTTGATCACCACAAAGAGCTTCCATATGTATTTAGTTAACATTTTTAGTCTGTTATAATCATTTTGCTTTAATCACTTTTCTGCTCTGTACCCAAGTTTACACAGAAAGAGACAACTTTTTTCTGATTAATATAGAAAATTATACAAACTCGACAATATAAAATACATTGAAAAAAAGAAGTTTTTTTTTAGGGCAGAATAAGCATAATGCCAAAAGCCTATTCTACAGAGGCAAAACAATCGTCCAATCAACTCCCTCCATACAGGTATCTCTCCCCCCAATCAGAATACTTTAAAAGCGTTCTGTTTGGGCATCAGGGATGACTGACCAATCGTTTGCCATCATGTGTCCTGGGCTGTCCAATCGGATTTCGTCTAGCCGAGGTCATCAGGTTCAATGGTGTAGACCATGTAGAGAAGGTCTGCCACATCGGGAACCAGAGGGTCTCCAGGAGTCGCCATGGTGAAACCCATAAACATGAAGGCTCTAATCAAGGAAGCTACAACACAAAACACAGGTCTAGATCATTTACTGCTCTCATCAGGGAAGCTACAAAACAAAACACAGGTCTAGATCATTTTACCGTCTTGAATCACAGGAAAATCTCTCGATTTGTTAGAATACAGACATGATGCAGTAACGCATAATGAGGCGACATTTCATTTCATAACCTTTTTAACCCTTTCTGCCTTTATTTCATTGAATGCAGAAGAGATCTACATTGTGTTGACTTATAGATATATGTGTATAATACATCTATACAGAACAATTATGTAAGTATTGTGTATGACGAACAAGACAGATTTGAGAGAAAATGGTAGAATTATAGTCGTATTTGATATCTGGTATTATTCATATAAACTTTATTTACTTAACCACAATTTCATATAAACTTTATTTACTTAACCACAATTGAAACAAGTTATTTCAACCTAAGTTATTTCAACTTTTTTTGTTTTATTAATCACTCTTGTTGGCCTGAATGTTAGAGCTTGTAGATCTTTAGTTAACATGGGAGGAAACTGGAGTACCTGGAGAAAACCTACGTGGTCGGGCAACCAACCCCATTACTTTACACGTCTGATAGGGGAATCAAACCTGGGATGGTAAAAGGTAAGTGTGCCATCCACAGCGTCACCTGACCACCAAATGATATTGAGAGTGATATTCAGACAGGATGCTATGGGTCAAATACAGAGTTCACATCCCATATCAGACTTACCCTTATCTGTGCGGCTCTTCCTCAGGCACAGAATCACATGTCCACAGTGCAGTTTCTCCTCGGCATACTCTAGCAAGGTGACCAAGCTGTAATGAAAGCATGCTTTTGTCAATTCAAGAACAAAATATAAATATATGTACGGCTTAACATTTTCTAACCATAAATATAAAACAACAACACCTTCAATCGTTTCCCCCTAAATACCATTTGACTACCTAAAGTACAAAATGCCACTTTCCCTCGAAATATCTAACTTTGTTCCCCCCACCCCTCTCAATAAAACTGTAAAAACTTTTCCACCCCTCACAAAAAAACCTATAAAAACATTTTACTTTTTCAGGTGACGCCCAAAACTATTTAAGTCTTGTAACACACGCTCCACATTTCAATCATATTTCATTGAAGAATAATCTCCAGCAATGCTAACTCCTACAAAAATGTGAGAGCGACCTCCACTGACCTCTGTTTCGAACCCTCGGGAAGGATTCCTGGTGGCACCTCCACGTACAGCTTCCCGTTGGTGAGAAGCGTTTCCCAGGTGACCTGTAGTTGCTCGGCTAGCGTAACCACAAAGCTCACACTTGATGCAAGGTGAGCTGTTCCTACCAAAGTGTTCACGCTGACATTGAGAGACTGATGGTTGTCCTCATCAGTGGATGAGGAGTTCTCTCCCTTGGTGAACAGGCTTTTGGCATTGACAGGGGGCTCTGTTATAACCCCCACGCCGCTGCCCTCTGCCACGAATGACACACAGGCGGCGCGGGGCTCATCAGGAGCACCACTGAGGCCCTGGGCCGAGCGATATACAATACCGCTGGTGGGACAGGCTGCAACAGACAAAATCATAACTAAGGGATTTGAAAAAAAATATATACAAAAATAAATAATTGATTTAAAAATTAATTTAATAATTTGTCCAAATAAATACCTTTGGTGAGAAATGTTATTATAAATCATTTATTCTCGAGACATATATTCATTTATTTCTATGATGATGTTCTTCGGAAAAAATGCGGAACTGGACTAGGTCGACCGCCGATCAGGTGACTTGGTTGGTAGAGCGTCCGTCTAGAGTTCGGAGGGCCGATCCCTGGTTCAAACCCCAGTCAGTCTAGAGTTCGGAGGGCCGATCCCTGGTTCAAACCCCAGTCAGGCTGCTGCATTTTTCTTTCTCCTTTTACATTAGATATGGTCGACCGATCATGATAAAAAGTAAACTTGCACATACAGAATGATACGACCAGATTTTATTGGATTATATTTGCTTGGTACTTTTATCATGATGTCCTAGTGATCCGAGTGGAGGGCATAAGGCACCGACGGTTTGAAAAAGAAAACCATTCATGGTGTACTTGGGTTTCTCCAATATATATCTATTAAGAATGTCCACGTGTAGTGTTTCAGAATGTCATCCACGACCTTGTGATAGCTGGTCAGGGCTCAGTAAGCCAAGGCCAGTTTGTCGGATCAAAACGTGTTCAGTAGTGTAACATCACATAGTATGCCTAGCTTAACAGGTCCAGTACACTCTGCCGATTGGGCTATATAGCTATATTCACCTATAAATTATCACTGTATTGAGCTATAATTTCTCAGATTTCAATTTTCATTAAATCAAAGCCGCATAAAACAATAAGGTTTATCGTAATGTTGACTACAAAAAGTATACATTTAGATGTTTTTTTCGTAAATGTAAAATTTCCGATTTTTTTTACATCATTATTTTTTAAAAAGAATACTTAACGTTATATTTAATGTCTTTGTTAACAAGCTGATGATAAAATCTTCTTTTAAAAGCGACTTTATTTTGTTTCCTTCAAAATCACATGAAAATAGCTCAAAAGACCTAGTCAATACACCTAGTATAGGTCTTGGCAGCTACAGTATATATATACAGCTCAATCGGCAGTGTACTGGACCAGCGTAAGACGTCTTGAATAATGTATTGCTGATAAATGTTGCATGGCGTTATGACAAAAGATGAATATCAAGTTATCCTTTATTGTACTTAAGATGTCACATTAAAATCGAAAAGTCATCGAGAACTAGGCCTACTGCTCTATCATCGCTTCGTTTACGAGTCAAAAAACCCAAACACGCCAGAGGGAAGTTGTCGACGGATTTATGTCGACTCTTTGTCATTAAATAGTTGCATTTTATTTATTACAGAAAAGGCAAGTAAGAACGTGAGCTATTTTCAAGAAAATGGGATATTCCATAAATGACGACGGAAAATTTCCTTAATCAACAATGGCGGCCGTGAATATTTTGCTACGTCAAATGGAGCTTTTGTTTTTATCAGCTGATCCAACATGCGTTTATTAGGAACTTTTACTTACATATTAGTGCTTTGTAAAGCAGGCATCTTTTCTTTTTTCTCTTGCGCTTTCGGGCCAAAGTTTTCGTCTATAACGATCGCGTCAGCGGCCCTCAACATATCTTTTCAGGTCTGGGATGGACCCAAACGTAGTGTGTTAACTCTACTGATATGTGGTTCAATTTGTTTATATACCAAGCACTACCGTGACGTCATGAGTCTGATTCCGAAAAACAAATTACACAATCGAACGAAACGAAACTGTACTTGATAAACAGACGTTAAGTACGATATATTATAAACAGATGGACACATATCACACAACTAGTGGTAAATAGACAGAAACGTTGGTAGACATCCTGAATTCGAATAGAAATATAATATGTAAATGAACATATTTATTAGGAGTTACCTCCCCTGAACCACCCAAACTATATAAAATTTAGGCAATGGACTGGATACCCAGGCAGATCAATGCCACTTACAAAATACATCGATGTATATTATCCTCCATTATGATGGATGACATCAACCAGGTGAAGGTGAAGAATGGTCCAACTTCATATACTTTTATTTTAGATTTAAATGAATTTTAAAATGCCATTACACAAAATGAAATTTGCTACTAATGTTGGCCAATATCAGAAAGAAGATGGGCACATTGTTTTACTTTCATTGCACTTTACTGAAATGCCATATGCATTGCGATCAATAGAAAACAAATCGGGAAAAAAATCTAATGTTGTATCATATCGGGTGCTTCAACCGGGGATCGAACCAACGACCGCAGCTTCCCAGTCCACCGGGGATCGAACCAGCAACCCTAGCTTCCCAGTCCACCGGGGATCGAACCAGCGACCCCAGCTTCCCAGTCCACCGGGGATCGAACCAGCGACCCTAGCTTCCCAGACCACCGGGGATCGAACCAGCGACCCCAGCTTCCCAGTCCACCGGGGATCGAACCAGCGACCACAGCTTCTCAGACCACCGGGGATCGAACCAGCGACCACAGTTTCCCTGTCCACCGGGGATCGAACCAGCGACCCCAGCTTTCCAGTCCACCGGGGATCGAACCAGCGACCATAGCTTCGAAGTCCACCGCTCTACCGATTGAGCTAAAAAAAATGATTTCTCTAGCATGATACTGGAAGACCTGCATGTACTGATATATGTAAATATATGTACTATCAGTCTCCCGTTTTATCTGACTCTTCTGTTACCCCCTATACGGTATGGTTTCCCGGTCACTCCAAGGGTAGGATTTCTCAGCCAATATATATTTTGAATTACAATATAACTTTTTGTAAATTTGTAAAAAAAACCACTAAACTATTTTATTACAGCGTATGTCTAATATGTGTTGCAATCTATGCCTTTAATAAATGAACTTTTCAACCTGTCTGTGCAGTCCACATGTCCACCTCAGTGTTAATGTCTTGTCACGTGATTGCATGTTCGCACGCGTACCTGTGAGTTTTTACTGTGACTCCCGCACTTGGCACGAACACAAACAGTTTGTGTGTTAACGTGACATTTTAACGTCATAGCAACAGCCAGGGTCATATCATGAGAACGGGTGCCTAGGAAGACAACGCCTGAAAGAGAAAGTAGAGAGTAAAGAAGTAGAGAGTAAAGAAGTAGGATAGAAAAAAGGAAAATCTCAAGTGTTGCAATGGGGGCAGCAGATCAGTGTTGGTCTCTTCCATGTCCCCTTCCACGTCCCCTTCCATGTCCCCTTCCACGTCCCCTTCCACGTCCCCTTCCATGTCCCCTTCCACGTCCCCTTCCATGTCCCCTTCGTAGAAAAAATGGAATAAATCCCCCGATTCTACAGGGAAGCCAACACGAGTAGCCTTTTTCGATACTGTAGTAGTATACAGTAGACGTATCAGTATATATACACAATCATAAAATGTTTATGACCTTACAATCAGCAAATTGTCAATCAGGAAAGACAGATAAAAAATGCTGAGAACTATTGTTTTCAAAAGTAGAGGGAAATAATCATCCCTATTCCATCGGGGTGACTATATGGCTGAACGAGGCTGGGGTTAGACACTGTAAAAACCATCCCTATTCCACTGGGGTGATTATTTGGCTGAACGAGGCTCAGATTAGACACTTAAAACCATCCCTATTCCATCGGGGTGACTATATGGCTGAACGAGGCTGGGGTTAGACACTGTAAAAGCCACCCCTATTCAATCGGAGTGACTATGATTATTATGGCTGAACAAGGCTCGGGTTAGACACTAAAAACCATCCCTATTCCATCGGGGGGACTATATGGCTGAACGAGGCTCGGGTTAGACACCGTAAAACTATCCCTATTCCATCTGGGTGACTATATGGCTGAACGAGGCTCGGGTTAGACACCGTAAAACTATCCCTATTCCATCGGGATGACTATATGGCTGAACGAGGCTCGGGTTAGACACCGTAAAACTATCCCTATTCCATCGGGGTGACTATATGGCTAAACGTGGCTCGGGTTAGACACTAAAAACCATCCCTATTCCATCGGGGAGATTATATGGCTGAACGAGGCTCGGGTTAGACACCGTAAAACTATCCCTATTCCATCGGGGTGACTATATGGCTGAACTTGGCTCGGGTTAGACACTAAAAACCATCCCTATTCAATCGGGGTGACTATATGGCTGAACGAGGCTGGGGGTAGACGCTGTAAAAACCATCCCTATTCCACCGGGGTGATTATATGGCTGAAAGAGGCTGGGGTAAGACACCGTAAAAACCCTCCCTATTCCATCGGGGTGACTATATGGCTGAACTTGGCTCGGGTTAGACACTAAAAACCATCCCTATTCCATCGGGGTGAGTATATGGCTGAACGAGGCTCGGGTTAGACCCCGTAAAAACCATCCCTATTCCACCGGGGTGATTATATGGCTGAAAGAGGCTGGGGTAAGACACCGTAAAAACCCTCCCTATTCCATCGGGGTGACTATATGGCTGAACGAGGCTCGGGTTAGACACTAAAAACCATCCCTATTCCATCGGGGTGATTATATGACTGAACGTGGCTCGGGTTAGACACTGTAAAAACCATCCCTATTCCATCGGGGTGACTATATGGCTAAACGTGGCTCGGGTTAGACACTAAAAACCATCCCTATACACTGTAAAAGCCACCCCTATTCAATCGGAGTGACTATGATTATTATGGCTGAACAAGGCTCGGGTTAGACGCTAAAAACATCCCTTTTCCATCGGGGTGACTATATGGCTGAACGAGGATGGGGTTAGACACTGTAAAAACCATCCCTATTCCATCGGGGTGAGTATATGGCTGAACGAGGCTCGGGTTAGACCCCGTAAAAACCATCCCTATTCCACCGGGGTGATTATATGGCTGAAAGAGGCTGGGGTAAGACACCGTAAAAACCCTCCCTATTCCATCGGGGTGACTATATGGCTGAACGAGGCTGGGGTAAGACACCGTAAAAACCATCCCTGTTCCACCGGGGTGATTATATGGCTGAACGAGGCTCGGGTTAGACACTAAAAACCATCCCTATTCCATCGGGGTGAGTATATGGCTGAACGAGGCTCGGGTTAGACCCCGTAAAAACCATCCCTATTCCACCGGGGTGATTATATGGCTGAAAGAGGCTGGGGTAAGACACCGTAAAAACCCTCCCTATTCCATCGGGGTGACTATATGGCTGAACTTGGCTCGGGTTAGACACTAAAAACCATCCCTATTCCATCGGGGTGAGTATATGGCTGAACGAGGCTCGGGTTAGACACTAAAAACCATCCCTATACACTGTAAAAGCCACCCCTATTCAATCGGAGTGACTATGATTATTATGGCTGAACAAGGCTCGGGTTAGACGCTAAAAACATCCCTTTTCCATCGGGGTGACTATATGGCTGAACGCGGCTCGGGTTAGACACCGTAAAAACCATCCCTATTACATCGGGGTGACTATATGGCTGAACGAGGCTCGGGTTAGACACCGTAAAACTATCCCTATTCCATCGGGGGGACTATATGGCTGAACGAGGCTCGGGTTAGACACTAAAAACCATCCCTATTCCATCGGGGTGAATATATGGCTGAACGAGGCTGGGGTTAGACACTGTAAAAACCATCCCTATTCCATCGGGGTGAGTATATGGCTGAACGAGGCTCGGGTTAGACCCCGTAAAAACCATCCCTATTCCACCGGGGTGATTATATGGCTGAAAGAGGCTGGGGTAAGACACCGTAAAAACCCTCCCTATTCCATCGGGGTGACTATATGGCTGAACGTGGCTCGGGTTAGACACTAAAAACCATCCCTATTCCATCGGGGTGATTATATGACTGAACGTGGCTCGGGTTAGACACTAAAAACCATCCCTATTCCATCGGGGTGGCTATATGACTGAACGTGGCTCGGGTTAGACACTGTAAAAACCATCCCTATTCCATCGGGGTGAGTATATGGCTGAACGAGGCTCGGGTTAGACCCCGTAAAAACCATCCCTATTCCACCGGGGTGATTATATGGCTGAAAGAGGCTGGGGTAAGACACCGTAAAAACCCTCCCTATTCCATCGGGGTGACTATATGGCTGAACGAGGCTCGGGTTAGACACCGTAAAAATCATCCCTGGTGTTGGAGAGTTCTCTAGCACACCCTCAAGGTACGGACAGAGTGTATGAATCGATATCATTAGTTGGAAAATTACCTATTTCATAGGCACCAGAGAGTCTTTTTGAATTCTTCTTACTCCGACTTAGGTTTCATTGAAGCAGGTGTTCCTCAGGGATTCGATTCTTGGACCTCTGTTGTTTCTTATCTATATCAATGATATTGCTGATGTGTTTGAATCAACCTCTCGTCTTTTTGCAGACGATACTTCTTTGTTAAACCATCCTCTTCATGTCTGTAATCCAAACGGTTATGAATAGAGATCTCGAGTCTCTTAATGCATGGTCCCAAACTTGGTAAGTAACATTCAATCCAGAAAAAAACTGAGGTAATTTTTTGTTTCAAACTTGGTTGAAATTGGTGAAGATTTACAATTAGAATTTAATGGCAAATTTTTAAATTTTACTGATCATCATAAACATTTAGGTGCTATTTTTAATTCAATTGGGGGGATAATATTTGTGCAATATATACTTCAGTTATGAAAAAAGTTAACGTCTTACGTAGACTGTATCGTGATAATCTTT